CCCTTCCGGAGTTGGTCGCAACGATTCCCGTGCCGTAAGAGTAGGACTCTCCATAAAGAGATTTATGTGGAAAAGCAAAGCACTTGGCAATGTCGCTTTTAGAGGAAAAACGCCAAGGTTTCTCTCTCTGTCTATTTATTACACACCCAGAAGAAACGCTGTGACACATTTTAGTTTAACGGAGTAAAGCTGGATTGTTACCACTCCATTCACACGTCTCGTTGGGCGGGCTGCACATTTCCAGAGCGTGTGATCGTGGCTGATCTCTGGTTCAGTCGCAGTTGAGCAGAGCTGTGCTGGCAGGGTGCCAGGTCGTGCTCGCTCTGAGCCGAGTTTGGGCACTAAGAGAAGAGTTCAGAACTGATGCGAATGGGCTCGGTCGCTGCTGATGAGAAGCGGAGTAGTGCCGGAAAGGGAGTTTAAGATGGAATTAGTCTGAAGCGATGGATGGATGGATCCAGTTGGTCGTGGAAGGCCAAAGAGCAGTCCACAGCCACATGTCTTTTAACAAGGGCTCCATCCTGAAGGGACTTTGGGTCCCAGCACGTGTGGTTTGGGCTCATGTGGATCGCATCCACAGTTTCTGTCTCCCGTGTTGAAAATGAACAAGTACAACGCACGTTCTGTTTAATTTCCAGCTCTCAGACGCACGGCGTGTTGTTGGTTCAGCTCTCGAATGGAGCGAGTTGGAGTATTCCTGAAGCCGAGAGTCGCCCTGCCCAAGCTCTGGTTAGAAATAATAAGGGTCTGTTTGCTGGCGTGGGGAAGAGACCTGTCCCTTATGTCTCCTTCAGACATAAAACACACATCAAGATAATACTCTTCTGCACATAGCCCGTTCCTACTGATTGGTATCCACAAGTGAACAGCTGCATCTGGCCTCCTGAAAAAGCTTTTCGATTAAAATCTGTATCTCTGCGGAGTGCAGAATAAGTCTGTTGTTCAATTTGTGTGCTGAGGTTGGCTACAGTAAGAGAGGGTTATTGTTATTTTCCTTCATTGAATAAGTTTGTGTTAGGCAGCTGCCCTCGGGGTATTCATTCTCAGATTCATAAATTTGGAGGCCAGAAGCAATCACTAGGTTATCTGTTCTGACCTCTTCTATATTTGAGGCCCCCTAAGTACCCCCATGTTGAGCTGAATAGCTTGTGCTTGGCTAAAAGCTTATTTCCTGTAGAGGGATTTTGACTTCATCTCAAACATCAAAAGATAAGGAAACCACAACCCCCCTTGTTAACGTGCATGTAGCATTAATTGCTCTTGTTAGAAATAACGCAACTTGTAACTTGAACTTTTCTGGCGTTCTCTTCCCTTCGTTGAGTTTTTATGTTTCTTTGGTAGCGTAAGGAGCATCGAGGGCTTGTTTTCTCTCCGTGAAGACAGCGATCAAGTCACTTCTTGCTCTTCGTACCAAGCTAAACAGATTGGGTCTGCCATTTCAGGGCAGTTTTTTCTGCCCTTTACTCATTTTTTGTTTCTTTTTCTTCTGCACAGCCGTCAAATTTTCAACAGTCCTGTTAAAAGGTAGACACTGGACCTGGACACAGTATTTCAGTTTGTCTCACCAAAGCCATGTGTCGAGGCGAGATCACCTCCTTTCACTAGGAAACGAATATTCAGCATAGACCAAAGCGAGGGCTAAACTGAAAAATATCCCTTCAGCCCTGTATTTGGCTTAACAACTATGATAAAACTCCTATTCTGGCAGAAGAGACTTAAAAGACTGCAGACTGTATTAGACATTTCAGAGGCAGTACACACAGTACAGCTGCCATAATCTCTTGTGAATCAGCTGTAAATTATTGGCCGCTTTGTCGACTGTTCAGCTGACCCCGGGCGACTCTTGTTTTGCTTTCTTGAAAGAGGGTCTCTGCGTGCGCAGATTCCAGCTCCGCATCGATTTCTTATAGCCCAGCGCTAACCTTTGAGAAGCTCGGCCTGTGCGGCTCCCCAAGCCTCCCGAGACGCAAGCGATGGAAGTAATAGATCACTGCTGGGAAAGCTGCCATCGTAGGAATTGATCAGTGTCACCTTTTTCTTTCCTTTCAAAAAATGAAATAAAAGTGGAAATGGCACTTGTTGGCATTTGGAGTGTGACACCACGACTTCAGTAGACTCCCTCTGCGTACTGCTGACAAGATCTTCCTGTTTGTGCATGTGGCGGTCCACTTCCCATCCCAAACCTGGCGTTATGTGCGGATGTGAGCACTAACCACGGGAACTGAGGCCGCCAGCTAATAACTGCTGCTTATCGTCTCCCTTCACATAGTATTAGCCTTCTCCTGACACTTCACAAGAAAGAGATTTACTCTCTTCCAAGAATATTAAACACCGTGGCCAGAAAATTCTTTTAATGGATGTTTTCCTTGGTAAGCAAATAGCAAGTGGATATGGGTGGAAACAGGGTGAGTAAGATGATTCAGGTGCTCGTACACCGCACCTTGCACCAGTCGGTGCCGTCTGAGGCTGGATTTGTATTTACTGGGGGCAGACAGACTCCTGAAAGACAGCAAAGTTCAAATACAGCCAAAGTGGTGGTCAAGTGCAGCACCTCGGGTTGCGGTGCGGTTTTGTGTGCGACTCTACGGCTCTACGATGCAAGCGTTTGGCAGCAGCCTGATGGCTTACTGGCTGAAAGATAGGCCTCAAGGTGACCTTTGCAGTTAGTCTGAGAATGTAAAACAGGAGACGTTTTTTAGACAAAGTCTTGTTGCTCTTCAAATGCGATGTAAATGAAGAGTGCACGTCTCACAGATTCACAGAAGTTTTGCTCCTGGTTCTCTATCACGGTCAGGTCTTTGTAGGGCACGAGTATTAATCCTACACATCCATCTTGCACCGCTGCTGGCTTCCAAGATGGGCACATTCCTGAGAGAGCCTTTGGTTGTAGGATCAGTCTGGGGTTGAAATAAGAAGCCACTGAATGGATGTAAATGTTTTACCTGGTTCCTTGATTACACTGATTAACTTTTCACCTAGATGCCATGTTGGCAGCAGGATGCTGTAGTGATTGAGATATGAAGATAGATGACCATCCTCCTATTCGTTTGGGGCAGATTTTCAAAGAGCTTCACAAGGGAAGTTTCCTTCATATACTTGAAGGAAACTTCTGTCTCAGGCATGCACATACTCCCTGCAATGTACTAAAACAGTAGCCTGGCTTGAATAATGAGCATCTCCCTAGGTCTTACTTCTCCATGGACAGACAATGCCTTTCTAATTAGTGTACAGCAGCGGGGAGCAATAAAGTATGCCTGTTACCCTCGTAAACCTGTACCAGTCGGGGCTGCGTGTTCCAGCGCAGGGCACACTTACTTCTGATTGTCGCTGACTGCAGAGTTCAGCCTTCTGCGGGAATGGAAATCCATCCCGGTGCACAGAGAGCCGTGAGACGTTCCTACCCAGAGACTGCTTGGAGCGTGAGCACAACGTTTGTGTTATTAATCATATCTATTATTGCATACACTTCAACAAAAGAATTAGGGAGTGGATAAAACGAAAGGAGACAAGCAGGTTTGATAGGAAATGGTGGAGGGTACCCCGCAGAACCTAGCACCTATCCCTTCCATGCTTTCCAAGATACCTTTCCCTCAGCTCAACTCATTGTTTCTTATCCTGGCTTGTGGCCCTTCATCAAAAATGCAGAGGACACAAGCAGATCCAGATGACATTGCTCTTTTGGTGGGAATGAAGTTTCCTTGTGATTGCATTGACCTCTACTTAAAATCATAGACAATGAGGGCTGGAAGTGACTTTAGGTGGTCACATCTAGTGCAACCCCCTGCTCCAAGCAGGACCAGCCCCAACTCCATCATCCCAGCCAAGGCTTTGCCTGCTCAGGTCTTCAAAACCTCCAAGGGTGGAGAGTCCACCACTTGTCTTTGGTAACCTGTTCCAGTGCTTTACTACCCTTCTCATGAGAAAGTTCTTCCTAATCTCCAACCTCAACCTCCCTTGCTGCAACTGGAGCCCATTGCTCCTTGTCCTGTCACCTGCCACCACTGAGACCAGTCCAGCTGCATCCTCTTTGCAGCCCCCCTTCAGATAGTTGAAGGTTGCTATTAAATCACTTGTTTAGTGATAGCATTTCATATTTATTCTATCACTTTCATAGAGACAGAAGAGAAACTCACAGGATGGTGACTTTTGGGATCATTCTTTCTTTGAAAACCTGAACTGTTTTGTTTTTCATCCACTCTTCCAGTGTCTCCCCAGGTACCAGGAGCTGTAGGAGTTTCTACCAGTACAGCTGTGCCAGTGAGGGTCCTGAAGCGGTGTGATTCGTGACTGACATTGCTGTGCTAGCAGAAGCTCCTAGTACACCCAGTAATATTGGTAGAGCTGGACTTTTATCAGTATAGCGCATTTTGTTTGATGGTGGTGGCTCGACTCTAGCAGTATGAAGCACCGCTTTTCCACTGAAGATGCATCCACACTGACAGTGCTTTGCCAGTAGTGTATACCAGTATTCCTGCCCTGAGGAGATGCTCCTAGAGTAGGCATGGCTTTGAGTTTTCCAAATACTGAGTGGACCTGCAAGTCTGTTAGCTGTCTCTCTCACTGTTCTTGCACATGCGGCCCCCAGACTATCTGATCGGCATATTTTGATTTATACAGCACACTGGTGTCTGCTCTTGAGCCATCATTTTACTTTTCACCCTATTATTTTTCTGGTTGAAGAAGTTCAGTCTCAGCCATTTGAGCCCTCAGTCAGTTCAAGTCCCCAGAAGACAGAACACAGCCAGCTGGGGGAAGGAGCCCAGAATAAAATGCGGGGAAACTAACAGGTGGAGGAAGATGTCCACGTTCCAGCGGACATTGTGCAGAGTCCACTTGTTTCAAGAGCAAATACCAGGACGCTTCCAAGGTGGTAAAGTGACCAAACATCTTCTGTTAAGAAAATAAAAGCTACATTATGGTGTCTCTTGTGGCCCTTGGAATGCGCTTCATGTTACACATATATTTAATGGTGCCATATGTAATGAAAGTGTCTCTTCTAGGATTCCTGGAAGACTGAATGACAGGAGAACTCCCCTGGGAGAACTGAATTGGATCTTCACAGCGATCACAGACACCATTGCATGGAACGTCCTGCCCAGAGGTAGGACCGTCTGGCAGTTAAGCCATGTTTCGTTAGAGACCAGTGCAGCCTTCTCAGAACAAAGAGGGCAGGGGAGCAAGGGGGATGTAGTCTCCTGTAATCCCTCTAATTGTTGTGGTGCGAGTGTGAAGTGAAAGCCAAAAGCATAGCATGATGTCTTGACTGATCATTGCGTTGTCTTTCTGCAGATCTCTTCCAGAAGCTCTTCAGGCAGGACCTGCTGGTAGCAAGCTTATTCCGCAACTTCCTGTTGGCAGAAAGGATCATGAGGTCTTACAACTGTACCCCGGTCAGCAGCCCACGTCTACCTCCCACCTACATGCATGCAATGTGGTAAGTCCCTTCTGGGGGTTAACTCTTGCCTAGAGGTCTCACCCTGATTTCAGGAGCTGCAGGCAGGCAAGGTTGTTACCATCTGACTCTCTACAGCCTAATCAGGATGGAAGGCACATGGCAGCTTAGTACCCGTCTCCAAATATATTTCTCCTCTATGTGTGTGGTAGCATATTAATACAATCCAGATGTCATTCCATAATGCAGAAATCTCATTTCAGCCTCGCAGTATTTCAGTCCAAATAGAAAAACAGTGGGGCGTCAGCTACCCTTGTTTTTCCAACGCAAAGCTCATCCCCACTAGCTGTACTGGGGAGAACTGGCATGGCTGGGGTTAAGAAAAGAATTCTTTTGACTTTTACAATGGAAAGGAAAGAGAGATGAGATTTGCCACAGAGTTCATTTCCCATCACCCTGCTTCTTTATAGATGATTAATGGAAATGCAAATGACAGAGTTATTATGGAAAGCTTCTTAAATGCATTCCTGACTAACAAACAAATGCTCGGTGAATACAAAAAACCCTCCTTGTGATTCTTAGTCTAGTTTAATTAAGGCTAGAATAGTACAAAGCTTGGCTAAGTAATACCTGATAGGGTCAAGCTAGCACAGTTCCTGTAAGAGAAAAAGGATGCCTCTGTATTCTGCTGAAAAGCTAATAAAGGTAGAGAGAAAGGTAATGGAGGGGGCTTAATTTGCCTGGATTTTGAAAAAGCTTTTGAAAAGGTTCCTCTACAAGACTGTGGAGAAAAATGAAGTTAGATAAAGGTGCAAAATCATGTCATGGAGAAGCTGGTGGAGGCAGCAGTAAGCAGAAGTCGTGCTGCATGACTTTCTAAGGAATGCAGCGAGGTTAATAGTGAAGTGTCCTGGGGTACAGTGCTGGGACTGTGATTTAATACATTCATTAATCATTTTGGAGCAGGAGGTAGACAGTGATTAGATTAGAAGGTTACTGATAATACAAAGTTGCTCCCATTAATAAAAGCATAGTGAGATTATAAGAAATTTCGGATGGATTGAAAAGCATTGAGAAGCTGGGTGGCCTGGGTACATAGCCCAAAGCTGCTTGTGCGTGCTTTGAAATGGTAGGAACTTTGAAGAAAAAAGATTATAGCCATTGTACATATGTGCTGAAACAGGAGGTAAGATGTCTGCATTGCAGGGGCAGAAGATGTGGCAGACTGCACTAAGTAAACTCTCCCCCAGGTAGTGGTGTGCGGTTGTGGCATTGTCTGAAGGACAGAGAGAACCTGGAAGCCTCCTGAGAAGGACAGTGCATATGGCAGATGGGCAGAAATTACACACAGTTAAATAATCTAGAGACTTTGCACCATACTTATCACTAGGGCATCTGGGCACCTGTACAACAGGTCGTCTATAACTTGCTTACTGCGGCAGGCAGCATCGCTCTGCTTTGCGCCTGCTACCTCCCAAAGCAGGGGCAGCCTAACTGTGTTGGGGCAGTGCTCTCCCTGGGCTAGGGAACTCTGCTGAGAAGCACTGCCAATCATGCCCCCCTGCAGCACCTTGCTAGAGCAGCTGCCTTGCTTCTGGTTCAGGGGGAGCAGCATGGTCCTGCCGGGGGTTGTTCTTCCACGTTCTCTCTTGCGCACTGCACTTTGCATATAAGCATGCTGTCATGGGACTGTCTGTGCTGGTGCATGCAGTGGGTGTTTCCTTTGAGGACTCAGTGTTACACAAAAAACAAATCACAAGGCTCCATTTGCTGGCAGAAGTGCAGCCGGTTTTATTGACCTGTAGAGCACCAACACACGAACACACCTGACAGCTGTTAGCCCTGGATGCTGGTGGTAAGGCGTAGGCACAACTCACAATTGCTGGTGTCCCCTAAGCCTAATGCTTGTTTCCGAGATTTCCAAGCTTCCTCTTCCACATGAAGTAAGCATTTGTGGTACATCAGGCATTTACATAACAAATCTCAGCACCTCTGCCACGTCCTCAGACATTGTGCCATCAGCAGGTGCATTTCTAGACTCCCTGGCACTGCCCTTATCACTCTGCTGTCTGGCCTGTTTCTTTGCAGGCATCCTAGTGGTGTGGGGTCAGCCTTTGGTGAGGCCTGCTTTGATTCATGCTCTTAGCAAAGCCCTTGTATGAGTTGTGTAATGCATTGATCAGTGCTTATATTACTCAATGAGGACAACACTTGCTGTGTCTTCTGGCTTCAAACAGGCGGTGTGGTTCTTCAGGCAGTTCTGGTGCAGGCTCTGCCACTGACCCCTTCCATTTCTGCATGTTTCTTGTCTGTGATGTGGGCAGGGTGCTCAGACCTCCTTTCGGGAAGTGCTTTGGGGAGGGCTGAGAAGTGCGGTGTGAAGACGACGGGTGGCATCGGTGCTGTTGGTGATAATACTTCTTAGGAGTCAGCTCATGCAGAGTTTCCTTGGGAAAACTTGCCTGTCGGTCTGCTTCTGCTGACTCCCAAATAGCAGCAGCTCAGAGACAGAGACATGAAGAGGCAGCCCCTTGACATGTCTTTTCAATAGTCTTCAAAAAACATAACTTTAAAATGTGTCAGCTCCAGTTGTTCTGAGAAAGTCTAGTTTAGTGTCACTTAAAAAGCGGTCCATTTCCAGCATTTTTTATCCTTGGATCTGCTAATGTGTTACAGCTTTAGACCTCTCAAGCCACCTGTGAAGTAAGGAAGGCCCCGTGTGTTTTTACAGATGGAGTAAACTGAGGTGGGCTCAGAGGTAAAATGATATTATATCCCCTGGCGGGTCGGTTGTGAGGCATGGCTAAAACATGAAAACTCAACAGTCCCGGCCCCAGTCAGGCGCTCCAAGCCGTTGGGCAGTCCTCCCTCCTCGGGGCTTGTGCAGGGCCTGTTGTGCCCATGTGGAGTCTCTTGTATTGTCCCCTGTTCTTACTTGTTGCAAGAGCAGATTATTGCCCCTGCGAGACGTGTGACCCAGGCAGGGCATGGAGGCAGGAACCAGAACCCGGGAGGGCCTCAGGAGCAAACACAGGATCGGTCTCGTCTGCATGGGTGAGTGACTGAGGCCTGGCAGATGGCAAATCTACACTGTCTGCCTTCCCGTTGAGAACTCTTCACAGAGTTTGCACCTGGCAAATCAGAGATCGAATGCCTGTGAGCTTGTTTACTGGCTGGTTGTCATCCACAGCCATTTGATCTGCGGGAGGCCAGCAAGAAAACCCCCAGGCTGTGCTATAATATGTAAATGGATAATGAGCGCCGACACTTAGCCCTACAGTACATCAATCTCTGCTCCTCAAGGGCCTGACTTAAAGCACTGAAGGTTTTCTGCTTCCCCTTTCCCAACAAGCACCTCTCGTAAAGCTGGTTTCCCTCCTGTTTTGTTGTTAGGTGAGAGCGGGGGAGGTCAGGTCTGCCCGCTCTTTCTGCACCTCCATGCTATTGTGGGTAGGGATAGTGGATCTCTACCTCCACTTGTGTTTCATGCTGTCACGCCGAGGTGCTGTGCGATGTTTAGCTCCCCGGGTCTTTCAGAACAGATATTGTGGGTCCATTCGCATCTTCTGCTCCCCTTTCTTCTAGATGCAGATGCCCCTGCCTACTCCGCATCTTTCTTCTCGCAGCGGTTGTAGGGTTTGGGCCCGCTCCTTCCCTGCTGCAGACACAAGTTGGCCCGCGTGTCCCGCTAGAAGGTTCAGTGGAGTAGCAAGCCCTCCTCTGGGGCTTTGGGACAAGGCTTAAGTGGGGAGGGTACTGACTGGGATGCACTGATGCTCAGCTGGTACTTGGAAACCTAGATGATCCTGGGTAGAGAAGATTGCTTTTCTGCTCAGGATCATGCTGATCACTAGACTTGGGGGCTTGAATTTGCCTCCTTGGTCAGACTGGCGTGGATGGTGTGTGGGTTTTTGTTTTCCTCTGTGGCATGGAGCACAGTCCTCTTCCCTGACCCTCCTGAATACATACCAGCCAGCTGCATCCCTGTCACTGCGGTGGCTGGGCATTGGCGGTACCCCGTCTCCCCTGCTTTTACCTATAGGACATTAAAGGCTTGTCTTGGTGTCTTGGGTACTGTGCCATGGAGTTGTGCGTAAGGATTTGAAGCAATGATCTGGGGGGTTCATTGGGTTAGCAGGGGACTGGAGGCCTATTAAATCCCTTTGCTGCACTCAGTTCTGCTTGCTGAAATCTATCCTGATCTAATGCCGACAACTCTGTAAGAGTGCATTGTAATTTACCTTGCATTTCAGGAACGATGAAACATGATTGAGCAGTCTCGTCTCAGTGACACCGGAGAAGTATGAAATAGCAATAAAATGTAAAACCCAATCAAGCTAAAGTTTCCTTCTGTTTATTTGTAGTGCACAGGGATTCACCACATACACAAGCAAACTGTCAAATAGGCCCTTACTTTAGACTGCACGAGTAATACCCAGCCACTGAACTCTTCCTTTTCTCCACACCCTTCCCTTGCAGCACGTAGTCTCTTCTCAGCTGCTGAGGATGTTCTCTTGGACCGTGTTCCTCACAGAAGGGAAGGAAAGGCGAGTGATTTACAGATCATAGTGATAAACACTGAGTGGATTCCCAGCTTCGTACGCACTGTGCTCTCCTCCCCCTGCCTGTGCCCTTCTGGGAACTGCTGGTCAATTGTGCAGCAAAGCAGCCCTGCAGCACAGCGTGCAGCTCTCCTCCATAACTGGGAACATCCTTACAGTCAGACTGGAGGAAGCAAGAGCATCTCCTGCTTCTCACAATGCTGCCAGATGCTAGCTTTCACGTGTGCGGGCTCCAAAAACTGGAGTTCACTGCTCAAGTGTGCGTGTGTGAGCGCGTGTGTGTTCTCTCCCCCTCCAGTTTGCTTTATGGAGCTGGGCGCCGGAGCCTCGTTAGTTCTGTTGCTGTTTCCTGGCTGATAGAAATCCATAAAGCAGTTGACAGAAGACTGTGGCAGTGTGCTGTTCAGCTGTGAGTGCACCAGAGGGATGCGCATATGCTGTGAAATGTTTTTTCCACTTGACTTGAGCATCACTTTATCT